GCTTTGAACTTGAGATCCTCCTGCCTCAGCCTCCTGAGCTGCTGGGATGACAGGCATGTACCACTGTGCCTGGCTTCAATTTTTTTTTTTTTGTACTTTCTGTACAATTTTTTTTTACAAGCCAACCTAAAATTGCCTTTGAAACTCAAGCCTATTTAAAAGTGTACTGATGGACACAATCCTTCAATATCTAGGAATTGTCTCCTGAGCATAGCTCTGAGCAGTTGTGAAGACACGTCATTTACGGAGGGCTCAAGAGGCTCGTGGGGAGGCCCGAACCTTCTCCATCAGTCTTGTTTGACCAATATCCAGGAGACCGGAGGCTTGACATCGCAGTTTCATGTCCTTGCAAATGCACATTCAACTGAACACACAGTTGTTGAACAAAAACGTCTGTCCACGGACCACCTAAAATGACCTCCTGGCTTTGGCAAACACGGGGTTAGGCTGGTCTTTTAAAAATTGGACTGTGTGCTAGAGTCACCGAGAGAGTGTAAGGAAAAAAGTCCAGTATGAAACTTGTTCACTGGGAAGGGAAGCTCAGTGACCGATAGGAAATGATACGCTTCAGCCCATGGGGTGGATTGTGGGTGATGGGGCTCTGAGAGAGGGTGAACGGTCACAGAGGCCACAGGAAGGGTCAACCAGCGAGATGGAATGGAGGGTCCCAGGCAGCCAGGAGGTCCCAGACAGCCTGGTTTTATAAGGGAATAAAGGCACAGGGAAGGGGAGACCTCTCCCTGCAACCAAGAACCCATCTTGCACCCAGGTCCAGCTCCCCAAGAGCCTCCGTCTCCCCTGACCCCAGGACCCTTGCTCACCTCACGTTGGCCAGGGGTCCAGCACTCTCAAAGTTGTCTCTGAAGTCTGGCCCATCGCCTGATGATTTGCGCGAGTCAGAGTAGGAGGAGACGCTGTTGAACCGGACCTTGTAGCTCCTGCCAAGGTGAACCAGGGTCTGTGAGGTTCGCCTGGACCCCCTCCCGAGGCCCACACCCTCTGTGGATCTTGAAGTCACTGGTCCTGGTCCTGGTACCTTCTCTGTTGGGTTTGTTGAGTCAATGCATAGCACTCCTAGGGTCTCTTCAAGAATGGGTCAACTCTCGCCCCCCACCATGATAATTATCCTCCTGTACATGACCCTCCCTGGAACTTCAAAGGCTGTGGCCATGCTCGATTTAAGAAATTCGAGCCTATACCGTTAACATAGCTAAATTAATAAGACATCAGGAGCAGAATGGACCCTCCCCTCACCATAGGCCATGCTCCCTTGCTCTCTGAGTTTTAACACGCACGGGAATCATTCCAGGGTCTCGTTAAAATGTTACTGTGGTTCAAGAGGTCTGGGGCGGGGTCTGAAAATTGGCACTTCTAACAAGTCCCCAAGAAGTGCCAATTTGCTAGTCCCCAGGTCTTGCTTTAACAGCCAGGAACTGGCTTTCCAATATGGTGGCCAATATGGTGCTTTCCAATATGGCGGCCATCATCTAAGTGTGGCTATTTACACCTGAATCAATTAGAATGAGATGCAGTTGAAAATTCCTGTCCTCACATGCACTAGCTACACCTCAAGAATCCAGTAGCCGTGTGCGGACAGTGACTGCGAATGTGGTCTAGTGGGAGAGTGCCCCTGGGTTCAACCCGTGGTACCAAAACAAAAGTTCTGCAGAACCGGGCTGGTCTATTCTGGTCAACGCTTTCCTTTCATAGAGTCAAAGATCTTAGACATTTTTCCTGGGTCGCAGGTCACATTTCAGGCAAACATAAGAAATGTTTAGCACTGAGACCCTGCATGAAAAGACATCGCTGCTTTATATATATATATATAATTAAATTATTTTCCAAGGGAAGGAAGATGTCCTGGGACCCAAACATCAGCCGAGAGGCTCAGGAATCTTGAGACTTTGAAACCCAAAGCACCCCCATCTGTTCTCCTCTCCTAGGGGTACGTGTTGCTTGCACACAAGGTAAAAACAAACCCAAACCCGAACCCCAATACCTGACAAAGAAACAAACAAAAACAAGTCCAAGCCCCCAAACTCCAGGCGAGAACCCAATGCACAAATCTGAATGCAAAAGGGGGAAAAAAAAAAAAAGACATAAAAAGAAATCTGTGCGATCTGGCAGCAGCGTTTCTAAACTGGACGCTCTTCAAAGTGCCCGCTCTGGCATCAGGAAAGTTCTAAATATACGGAAGTGTATTTTCTGCCCCCAAAATAGCCTCACATTGAGTCACTTCTCCAAATAAGTCATGCAGCATCTCAGGGGGTGTGTGTGGTTAGCGGGGGAGGCAGGCTGACAGTTGTGGGGTAAGAATAGCAGCACGTGGATCCGTATGAGGCTGGAGGTTCCTCCAAATGCTGTCCCCGTTGTTATTTTCCCGGGAACCCTGGCAACAGCTCCCCCCAGCTGGGCGGGGCAGGATCACGGCTCCCCATTTGGCAGCCGAGGGAGACGGAGACCCACGGGCGTCAAGTGGTTTGCCCAGGTGGTTGAATGGGCGAATGGCACAGCCTGGGTGACCATCCAGGTCACTTGGAGACCCCGGGGGGGGGGCCGTGGCCAGGGATGCTGGGGTGTAGGACATGCACACGTACGGGTGCACGCGCGCACACACATGCACACACACGCTTGCACACGCATGCATGCGTACACATACACGCTCTACCTGTGCCGGCTGTCACGGGCGGCAGCCAGACCGTGGACTTCAGTATCACCAGGGGGGAGGGAAGGCCCTTTACGGGGAAAGAAACGCAAGGGTTCCGGGTACCTAGAGGGGAGAATGGATGGAGCCCTATCTCTCCCTGAAGGAGGGGTGAGGGGTGACCTGCAGGGAGGCCACCCAGGACCAAGGTGCTGAAGCCAGCTATGGACGAGGGCAGGCCACCAGGGGCTCTGGGATGGGATTGGCCACGTGTGTTTTTCAGGGAGAAAACCCAGAGTGACTTTCTGCACAACACCATCTCTGAATGCCAGTCAGCTCTGACATGCGATGCTCATCTTAAGACACAGGGATCCGCTCCACGCCAGGCG